AAACAATAGAAGATGGAAATATATCTAATGACCGCATTATATGCACGACGCACTTCTAACACTCCCTGTGCATGAATAATCCACCAAATGTTAGTATTAAAAACAAAAAATACAAACTTATCATGCTCAAATTTCTGGCATTTCGGTGTTTCCGGTTGTTTCAGTACTGGACTCTGTGTTTTACTCATATTGCCGTTCGAGACTGGACAATTGTTCTCGTCTTCTGCATTTGGTGTCGGCAATAATACTATCATTTTACAAGATTCGAATTTATTTTATTTTTTTGCATTCCATTTTCAAATTCCCTGGTGTGTTCTAAGTGATACTAAAAACGCAACACGAACGTAAGACATGTTTGAACGACGAAACTCGCGAAACGGCAAGCAAAAAACTTCGCAAACAAGCCGGAACATTTTTCAACAAAAAAACAACGCATATCAATGCCGAAACATTCACGCGGTAAATATAACATAGATTTGAAAAATCGAAACAGAAGTATATTAAGGTAAAAAAAAAAACTACTTTTAACATTAAAATGCCGCAACAACCAATACGATGTTGGTTCGAAACCCCGGAGAAGCGAATTCAACACAATAATCACGCAACAACGCACATTTGAGCACCAAAAGATCGCAGCACAAATGACGTTGATGTATTTTGATTTCAAAATGTTGTACAAAACAAATTTGAATATCATAGAAACACAACAAATACTGCAAAAAGAAAATCTAGATTTCAGAAAATCTGCATTACCTGGACTAATATAATCTATCTTCAAGCCGTATTCATCAACCGGAATAATCCGCACAAAAAATATTTCAAAACGTAGTTTTTGCGCATTCAATATATTTCTGTTGAATTGATGGGATCTATCTTACATTTGACATACAAATATTTTGGTATTTAATTGCGGCATTTCCGTGCTGAAAGCTCTAGATTTAACTCTGTCCTGCGGTGGTTTCTGTTCTGCCGTACCGAAACTTTCGTCATTCGAATATGTCTAACGTTGGTCCGCTGATATTTCTAAAATTGTTGATTTTATTGTATCATTTAGAAACAAAACATTCATAAAAAAAAAAAAAAAAAAAAAAAAAAAAAAAAAAAAAGACACCAAACTCTGTTCTAGGAAACATTAGACCTGACGTCATAGAAAAAAAAAAAAATCAAAACAATAGCTCTAGAACAACAAAAATCTATCTAATTAAAAAAATCTGCAGTGTGCAGCCTAGCAAAAATCTATCATTTATCTAACAAACTAATCTGCAACAACATCTAATTTTCGTGATCATTTTTTTTGTTTTTGCACGTTGTATTTTTTTTTCTATGTATCTCGTAACAGCAGATGAGTCTCACCACACGCTCAAGTAAGTGAAGGCAGCACGGCTACGACTGTCAAAAAGAGAAGCACAAAGCAGAGGAAGAAGGAGGGAAAGGAGAGGAGCAAGAGGGGGGGAGAGGGGAGAGGGGAAGGGGAGAGCAAGAGGGGAGGAGAAGAGGAGGGAGAGGAAGGGCAGCAGCAGACGACAGACGACAAGGGGGGAGGGAGGGGGAGGGAGCGAGAGGGGAGGGCCGAGCCCCGAAGAGGCAACGCGCAACGCGCGCACCTTGCGCTCCACGCAGAGCGGCCGGGGGGGAGGAGAAGGAGAAGAGGGGGAGGGACACGAAGACGGACGAACGAAAGGCGACGGCGGGACACGACGGCAGCAGACGACGAGGGAGGAGAGGAGGGGGGAGGGGAAGGGGAGAGGAGAAGAGGAAGACGAGAGAAAGGAGGAGCTAACCACGCCAATCCCGACACCCACGGAGCGGGCGCGAAGCCAGCGGGAGGCGGGGGGGAAACGAAACCGGCCAGTCGTCAAAAAGGCGTGCACGAGCACGCACGAGATTTTGAAGGCGAGATTGAAATACGCTGACACCACGAGCGGAAACAATAAAGTCAGGGAGAAGGTTATATATGCGAACGGCACCAATCGCTGAGCGTAGGAGAAAATCTGGTGCTGTGAAGGGCGGCTCCACCAAATGGTGTCTGTGTCTTCTGGGAGCCCTGGCCGGCGGCGGCGCCGTATCCAGCTTAAAGAAGTTCTGAAAGCACGGAGGACCGAGTCCCAGAACAGCTCTGTGAATGACGCCGAGTATGCTTATGTCACGACGAGTGCAAAGGGGCGCCAGATTAAAATAAAACAAAGCGTCCGCGTCTGTCACACTCAACGAACGCAGGAAGCGAGAAAGGAGAGCGTCGAGAGGGGCTAACACAGAAGACGAAGCATGATACACGGCTGAGGTTCTGTATTCAATGTACGACAAAACGTGCGCCTTAAATAAACCGATCAATTCCGCATCGGTGTGAAAACGTCTGGTGCGCAGTAGTCGCTGTATTTTCCAAGAGCACTCTACAACGCAGCTGTCGACGGCCTTGGACATGAGAAGTTTGGTATCGAACCAAATACCTAACAATTTGAAATCGTCTCCAGCAGGCTGCGCGCGTGACAAAATATGAAAACTCTCTTTGTCCGCGTCAAACTGTACTCTGTTCGCGCGGCCCCAGGTGTGGAGGGACGATTGGCACCGGCGCAGGGAAAAAAAACCGTCCACATCTGAGACGCTCGTGGAAACAGCACGCCATGCATTAAGGTCGTCTGCAAACATACCCTCTTGAAAGCACTCTGCCCGGATGGCCATGCAAGCGTCAGCGAAAAAGGTGTTCCAAAAAGGCGGCCCCCAAACAGTGCCCTGGAAAACCATGTTTTCCATGCTGAACGGGCGAGAAAGCTGGCCTCCAATCGCCACTCGCGCCTTGCGTCGGCGAAGCCAGCTGGGAAAGAGAGGCAGCAACTGGGGGGGCACGCCGGCCGACTGCAGCTTCGCACACAAGATTTCAGAATCGACTCGGTCGAAAGCGCCAGAAACATCAGAGCAGCATAGCAAGATACGGGAGCCAAGGGAGAGAGGAAGGAGCCAGGAGAGGACGTAGAATAAAACTGCGTCTCGTGCCCCATGTTCGCTACGATAAGCAAATTGCGACGGCCCATAAGCACCTAAACGCTCGAGGCGCGGCACAAACAGGCTACCAATGATGCGTTCTACTGCCTTAGATAATTGCGATGTTAAGTGCAGACCTCGATAGTTGTCTGGGTCTGACAGAGCCCGGCGCTTGTGGAGAGGGAAGATCCAGTGTACGCACCAGGAAGCTGGCCACTGAGAACAATGGATGATCTGCCGAGCAAGAAGACATACTGGCAATGTAATTCGCGTGCGCAAAGCTTTAAAACTCGAGCAGGAACCAAATCAGGCCCAGTGGCGCTGTCCAAACGCAACTCCTGGAGCACGGCCCCGGCGACACGCAATCGCACTCTTAAAAAAGCATTCGAATCAGTCGGCACTAAAGGAGCATTAAACACAGAAAACTCATTTACCACAATATCTGGCAAACTCCATTTGCTAGAGAAACTTGCTGCTAAAAGCTCTGCCTTTCCTATGCTGGTGATAGCCCACGATCCGTCTGGATACTTCAAAGGCGAGCTGCTTGGTTTTCCTGTTCTGCACAAAAGAGAATCAGAAAGTTTCCACCACTGCTTGCTGCCACGGCGCATGTTGCGGAGACGCAAGCCTCGTGTGCAGAGAACAGGGCATCACTGCACCGGCGGCAAGCGAGGGGGAAAAAATCCGTGCCAGAAGCGCGCCTCTTCTCCTCAACTAATCGCACGCACTCCTCTGTGAGCCAAGGGTGTGATGGCCGGAACGACACAGAAGACTGTGGCATGCACTCGCGCATTAAAGACAAAAGAATATCTGTGAGGCGCTCTGCTGCTGCATCTGGTGGCTGCTGAGAAATCCATTCCCAACTGTGCTCGCGAATGCGTCGCCGAATCTGCGACCAATCCGCCTGACCATAATGCCACACATCACGATTGAGAACTTCGAGCGAGAGCGGAGGGCCAGAAAATCTGATCGACAAGCCGCGATGATCGGCGATTTCACTAACCACTTCTTCCGTTATAAGTTGAGGTAAATCAGTGAACATTAAATCAATTAAATATGGACCTCTGGTAGGAGATCTGACACGCTGAAAAAGGCCAGTCTCCTGAGCCCAATTCTTCAAAAAAACAACCTTCAGGAGTGACAGAATGACTGTACCGAAGCCAATATGTATGGTGCACGTTAAAGTCGCCGACGAGAATAGCACCGACAGCCTGCGCACTGAGACGAGCATACTCACAGGTAAATGTTCGCAAAGAATCTACTTCTCCATACTGGGGATGTCTGTACACGCAGCCCAAAAGAATGGGTCCGGACGCGCAATGGACAAAAATCCAACATATTTCCGCCGAGGGTGAATTGAGAAGCGCAGAACAAACGCCATTCAGAGTCTCGTGCACAAAAATGGCTACACCTCCGGCCTGCTGGTGACTATCGCGTCTCGCAAGCAAACTGTAACCAGGTAGCTGAGGCGCCAGAAGCGAAGTATTAATGCTAGGAAGTTTGTAGTTTCACATAGATATATGATTATATAAAATATAATCTATACTGTCCTGGAGGATCCAGGAAATCCTGCAGCCCTTTGTTGCTCGAGGAAAAGAGCGACCCTCACCTCCCCCCTTTCTCCGTGAGGGGGGTGGGTGCACGTGCATGGTAGCGGAGCTCGCTTGAGGATCGCGGGCCGCTCCGCACCCCGGCGAGCTCAAGGAGCCCCTCAGCAGCTGGCGGGCCGATCCACGCGAGCGCCGAGAGGACCCCTTGCTAGTCAGAGCTGCGGTCAGACCCGCGCTCTGACAGTGGAGGCCAAGCAGCCACGGAGAAGGCCAAGAAGCCGAACAAGCGAGGAGGCAGGTCGGCGGACACGCGTCAGCACCGCGAGCTCCGAGGGACCGCCTTTAGGAAGCTCAAGGCGTGCGGCAGCAGAGCGCAGCTCACGCAGGAGGAGCGAGCAGCGGTGACGAGGCAGCTGAGAAGCGACATCGAGAGGATAGGGAAGCGTGTCAGCGACGTGCTAGACTATCAAGATGGAGCAGCAGCTGCAGCAACTGGTCGATCAAGTTCAGAGGCTGACGACGGAGAGTCAGAACATGAGACAGGAACTTCAGAACAGAGACGTGACGATCGCAGAGATGCGAGGTCAGCTTCAAGCTCAGCAACAGGCTCAGCAGCAGCGGGTAGCCCCGCGCGGCGAGATGATGGATCCGAAGATTCTTCACAAGGTGAAGCCGTTCGACGGCCACAGGGCGAGTTGGAAGACGTTCAGTTTCCAGTACAGAGCGTACCTGATCGCCCAGGATCGAAGGTACCGAGATCTTCTGGAAAGGTGCGAGGACGGAGCCCAGGAGGTGGACAACGTCAACCTGGACGCGCAGGAGGAAGAGCTAAGCACGCAGTTGTACTACGGCCTGGTCCTGGCGATGCCCGAGGACTCAGTAGGCGAGCTGATCGTGAGGAACAGCCCAGTAGGAGAAGGAGCCGAGTGTTGGAGGAAACTTCAGAAGGAGTACAACCCGAGCGAGGCAGGAAACGTGCTGGCGATGTGGACCAAGCTCACGGACACGAAGTTCGACGCCAAAGAAGACGTGATGGTGAGCATCAGCAAGCTGGACGAGGACATGACAAGGTACCAGAAGATGGCAGGAGAACCAGTCTCGGACCTGATCAAGCGAGGCATCCTTACAAAGGCGCTGAAGGATCACGACGAGCTGCAGAAGCACGTGTTTCGGAACAGCAGTCGCCTAAGTACGTACGAGCTCCTGAGAGCCGAGGTGGTGTCGGCGTTGATGGCAGAGCGAGCGGTTCAGGACGACCCGATGGAGATAGGCGCGCTGAAGGGCGGAAAGAGACCGTGGAAAGGCCGCGGCAAAGGGAAAGACGGCAAGGGCAAGGAGAGGCCACCGAATCCCGACGCCGAGATCGAGTGCCACTACTGTCACAAGAAGGGCCACCGCAGCGCAAACTGCCGAAAGCGGATCGCCGACGAGAAGAATACATCCGAGAAGGACAAGAAGGACAAGAAGCAGCTCCGAAAAGAGAAGGGAAAAGAAAAGAAGAAGATCGGGGCAGCGGCAGTCAGGGAGCTCGAAAGGTTACGACAGGCAGGAGTGGGCACAGGAACAAGTTCGTCAGCACCTACACAACAGATGTTGGGAAGTCAAGGAAGCGCCGACAGCGCGATGACTCAGCAGGTGCTGCGCCCAGTCAACTGCGCGCTGCAAGCGAAGATGATTCTGGCCCTGAGGGCAGAGGTCTCAAGAAGCGCAGCCACACGATCGACTGGAAGTACTGCTTGCCTAGCTACCACCAATATGTCTGCTGCTCTTGCAAGAAGACCTTTGAAGGATGGCGATGGCACTTCGATCAGTGGAAGCTGGACTACTGTGCCGCGTGTGCCGAGTACTGCCTGGACAACTGGTTCAAGGACGAGGAAGAGCCAGACGACAACGAGAAGCCAAGACCAAAGAAGCACAAGAAAGACTATCAGTAAGTGCTGCGATGTGCCAGCTGCGGTGAGCCCCGCGCTGGCCGGCCCCAGGCATGTCACCGTCGCTGGTCTTCGGCCCGTGGATGAAGATCAGAGCCCTGCAGATGACCGATTGCGGTTAGCCCCGCTTCGGAATGCGATCATGCTCGACTCAGGTGCGCAGATCAGTGCGATACCGAGATCACAGGTGACCAAGCATAACTACACGCCGACGGACAGCAACGTTGTCGGCTTGAAGGGCATAGGAGGCGAGGAGATCGAGAGGTACGGCCACGTGGAGCTGAACCTATCCCGAGGAGGAGAGGTTATTCAAGTCGGTGCAGAGGTTGCCGATGTGGAGTACCCAGTTGTGGCTACAGATGCTGTAGTACAACGTGGTCAGAGTGTTCTTCATAGCCCTGCAGGTCACTGGATCATCAACGGCACCGTCGAGCCACCTGACGGAACTGAGTTCGTGCCTCTACGGCGTCACCAAGGCAACTACTACATAGAGTACGATCACATCATCGACGGCCAGACTCAACCAGAAGCTTCAAAGGTAGCTGCGGTCCGAAAGACGCTACCGAGGAAGGTACCAGCTGAACAGGAAGCTGGATCTTTGCCGAAGGTTCTAGGTCCTGAAGCTGATGAGACCACAACTGTGCCAACGAGAGTGTTGAAGACTCCTCACCAACCTAGTGCTGCGGAGAGAGCCGCGCACGAAGGGCATCATCTACCTTTTCGGCCTTGGTGTCCCATCTGCGTGCAGGCTCGAGCAGACGATGACCCACACCACGCTCAGGAACCAGCTGATGAGAACAAGATCCCGAAGGTCATGTTCGACATCTTTTACGTAGGGACGGACCAGCTGGCTGCGAAGTACAAGCTTAAAGGAGGTTACTTCAGCATCAGGGAGAAGATGTCGGTCACGAAGGCCGAGCTAGACCAAGCGGTCTCTGTCTTGAATGTTATCGACTGTAAGATCTTGGCTCAGGCGACGTTGTACGCGAACAAGGAGACGGATGACTACAAGGTGTCCTTCCTGCTAGGCGTGCTGGAAGCTTGGGGCCACACAACAGTCATACTTCAGACAGACCAGGAGCCTGCCACCATGGCTCTGGCGCAGGCAGTTCGAGATCGCAGATCACACTCAACCTTGGTGCGGGGATCACCGCCCTTTTCTAAGCAAAGTGCAGGCTACGCTGAAGGAGCTAACAAGCTAGCAGCTGGTCTACTTCGAGCCTACAAGCTGAAGCTGGAGCACAAGCTGGGCTGTGAGATCAAGATGACGGATCCGATCGTGCCATGGCTTGTGAACTCAGTGGGGTGGATGATTACCAGATTCCAGCCTCGCAGTCACGGAGGTTCCTCCTACAAGATGCTCTACGGCAAAGAGTACAACGGCGAGATTGCGGAGATGGGTGAGCAGGTCTGGTATCGGATCTCAGCCAGAGTTGCCGCGGGACGTGGCAAATGGGAAGCCCGCTTCGCAAAAGGAATCTGGGTTGGTAAGAGTGAGCTGGACGATACACATCTCGTGATCGATCCTGAACGTGGAGTGCAGAAGGTCAGAACGGTGCGAAGGATGCCTGAGGAGTTCAGATGGCAGCCCGAGCTCATCCAGCACATCAGGGTGACGCCCTGGAAGCAGACGCCCGACAAGAGTTCAGGAACGATCGGACGCAGCATGTACATCACGGAGCGCATGATCGATGCTCATGGTCCTACTGACGAGTGCAGGAAGTGCAGTACAGGATACGGTTCGCATTCGGCAGCCTGCCGACAGCGTTTCGAGACCATTCAGGCCGACTTGCTGCGCGAGAAGTTGGCAAAGGACCCTGTGGCCCCTGAGGCTACAGTCGTGGTGCCAGCACCGGCTGCGGGTAGCCCCGCGCCTGGAGCCGCACCAGGAGGAGCAGCGGCATCAAGCAGCAGTGAGGTTGCGGTGAGCCCCGCACCTGCTGCCAGCGACGTAGCTATGGTCCCTGGCCCAGGAGAGGCTGAGGTGCAGACAGCCATGGACACAGAGAGTGGCGAGCTCAGGAGCGACTTTCGGCGAAGTGCCCCAGGTGAAGTTCGTGAAGGAGCTGAGGTCAAGAAGCCCAGGGTAGCAAGCATTGGGCATCTCTCTGTCTGTGAGTTGGCAGTCTGCGAGGAGGGCTACGACGAGAGCTTCGACCCCATGTGGGATCCACACCCAAAGCGCAGTGCGAGATGTTCCGAGAGGTGTGAGAAGCACTCGTCGCGATGCCAGCTACGAGAATGCCACCAAGCTGAGTGTGCATGCAGGAGATGTTTGATGAGCCACATCGGCACAATCAGGAGCCACTTCGGAGATCCTGAGGATCAGCAGGTGGAACAGATGGTTGAGGTGAGCGCCGAGCTGCATGAGAAAGACCAGTGGAGCCCAAAGACGATACACTACGATTACTATACTGGAGAGCCTCTGGATGAGGACCTGTATCAGAAGGGTCGCGACGACGAGCTGCAGGCCATGAAAGACTACGGGGTCTACGTGGAAGTGGCGACATCGACGGCGACTGACGGCAAGCACATTGGAGGTTTCCCGATAGCCCACATGAAAGAAGGAAAAGTCAGGTGGAGGTTCGTAGCAACCGAGGTGAACAAGTACGAGGTCAGGGAGGACAACCACCAAGGCACGCCCCCGCTCATGATTGTCAGAGCGACGCTGAGCCGTGCCGCTTCAAGTCCAACTTCCAGCGGGCAGCACCTGCGGAAGATACAAGTCTGGGACGTCAGGAAGGCTTTCTTCAACGCTGACTTAGACGAGACGATCTACGTGCATCCTGGGAGAGAGCTGTGTCCGCCTGGAAGGTGCTGGTGGTTACGCAAGGCCATGAACGGTACCAGGAAGGCGTCGCAGATGTGGGGTGAGCTTGTGAGAACTACTATGGACGACGGCCATTGGGAATGCTTGGTTGGAACTCCTAACGTGTTCTACTTACCTGCTAGCCCCAACACAGCCCCCTTCGACGAGGATAGCACAGCGATCTGCCATGGCGATGACTTTCTTGCTGAAGGCTACGACGAGCAGCTGGACGAGCTGGACGAGTTGTTGAAGCAGCAGTTTGAGGTCACGGCCAGCGCCAGACTTGGACCAGGAGCGGTGGGGCAGACTACATACCTCAAGAGGACGATCGGCTACACCGACAAGTTGCCAGGTTGCGAGGAGCCAGGTTTCTTCTGGACTGCCGATCCCAAGCATGTGGACTTCATGATCAAGTGGACGCAGAAGCGAGGTTGTAAACCAGCTCCTACTCCAGGAACGAAAGCTACAGGACAAGGCCGACGAGACAGCCTAGACCTTCTTTCCAAGGATCGTGCTCGAGAAGTGGCGGGTGCAGCAGGCACCGCTCTTTACCTTTCTTCGGACAGGCCCGACACGATGTACGCCAGCAAGACAGCGATGCAGCACGTCTCCAACCCGAACGTCTTGATGCATGCGCGTGTTCAGCGACTTGGAAGGTATTACGAAGGACAGCCTGTTTTGGTCTGGTGTTACCCACTTCAAGGTACTCCTGAAGGCATTCGTGTAGATGGTGATGCGGACTGGGCACCTACGAGTGAACTACAGCGGCGATCTACCAGTGGAGGAGCTGTGAGGTATGGCGACCACACTTGGGACTGCTACTCAGTGACGCAGAGTACGATAGCCCTAAGTTCAGGGGAATCCGAGATGTATGCTACGGGAAGTGCGACAGCCAGAGGACTTCAGTGTAAGACTTACCTGATCGAGACCCAGAGGCCCTGCAACCTGAAGATCTATAGTGACAGCACAGCTGGACGTGGCATGTGCAGCCGAGTTGGGGTGGGCAAGGTCAGGCATCTGGAGCTGAGGTACTTGTGGATTCAGGAGCGGTTGCGTCTCAAGGCGTTCGAGCTTTACAAGGAGGACACCAGCAAGATGACAGCCGACATGCTCACGAAGTACAGCGAGTGGCCGACAATCGAGAAGCATTGCACCACTCTCAACCTCAGGTTCGGAAAGCAGATGACGGGCTTGAGCGCAATGGCAGTTTTCACGGAGGTCGTGACGAAGGCGTCAGGCGAGAAGGTGACAGTGTACGGAGGATCTGACGAGGTTGCGGTTTGCCCCGCGCCTGTCAGCCACTATGTGGAGAGCGAGGAGTTCAGGTTCTACTTGATGTTGGGACTTGTTATGGTGACTGCAGCGAGTACTTTCTTATTGGGGTGCTGGTGTGGTTGCTACTTCAAGAACTTCTACGACAAGTTCCTCCTCCAGGGTGCGGTTAGCCCCGCCTCTGGAAGCACGTGTCCACCATCTGCGCGGGCTGACGTCGAGTTCAAGACCGTGTGTGCACAGCAGGACAAAGGTGCAAGGCACAAGCTCTTAAACACGTTTCTTGTGGCTGAGCTGCGAGCTGTCTTGAAGGCCAAGAGCCTGGCCGTGTCAGGGATCAAAGAAGACCTGGTCACGAGGATGATCAAGCACGGAGGTGTTCTGTCGGATCGCCAGGCCAAGGAGATCGAGCAGCTGCGGGTGATGGCTACAGCGCATGGACCTCTTGCCAAGCTTAGCTTGCAGGACATCAGCAGTCCAGAGGCTGCGCAGAAGTGGATCGAGACGTTCAAGGGCGAGTGCCGAGACCGTTCCAGAGGCTCTCAGGTGATCCACGGAGAGGGCTAGGAGAATGGTCGCAGGAAGCACTACGACGGCCGAGGGTGAGCTTTGTTTTACAGGCTGCGGTTTGCCCCGCGCCTGCCCTCAGCGGGTAGCCCCGCGATGGGTTTAGGGGGCCAGCGCCGTTGCGACGCCTGCCCAGGGAGCACAAAGAGGCTTCCCTGTGGCTCACTTTTCTTGGCTGGAGGCCGAGCCGCTTCCAGCGCCCAAGGAGAGGTGCTAGGAAGTTTGTAGTTTCACATAGATATATGATTATATAAAATATAATCTATACTGTCCTGGAGGATCCAGGAAATCCTGCAGCCCTTTGTTGCTCGAGGAAAAGAGCGACCCTCACCTCCCCCCTTTCTCCGTGAGGGGGGTGGGTGCACGTGCAATTAAACCAAGTTTCGGTGATACAGACGACGTTAGGAGCGGAAGAAAAGAGCGACAATGCCGACAGCTCGCCTGAATGAGCATTAAAAGACCGTAAATTGAAGTAGACAATGGTGAGATCAGTAGTGTCAACGGACGGCGTCGGCTGGGAGTTGCCACAGCCACGCCCGGACGGGAAAAATACAAATTCGATGGCTCAAAACGCCTAAAAAATTCGTGCAACGTAGGTTGAGAAGGAGAGGCCGACCGAAACGGAGGAGGCACAACGGGAGGCTCGAAAATCGCCGGTTGAGGCGTCTCGAAATTCCGGGGTAAGGCGGCTCGAAAAATTCGGGCTGAGGTGGCTCGAAAAATTCGGGCTGAGACCGCTCGAATTCTCCAAAGTAAGGCGGCTCGAAATATCCGGGCTAAGGCGGCTCGAAATATCCGGGCTAAGGCGGCACGAAAGAATTAGCGGATTCTGGGTGAAATGCTCAGTGCGACGTCTGAGAGACGAAGCAACTGATCGAGGGCCTCGCCGTCGAATTCAACCTCAAGGGGGCCGCACGCTACTCACAGAATGAGGGGCAGCAGGACAACCAAGAAGAAAAGGAATGTGAACAAAACTGCGTGCGACCCTGCGCTCTCTACAGAGAAAGGTCGCTATGAGAAGCTAAAAACTTGCCTGTCAAATCCGCTGGTTTCTGCTTAAACGCAGGAACAGCGTCGACTGTCACTACGCGAGACTTCCAGTCGATCTGAATGACACTCTGGGGAGCCCTTGTCTTCAACTTTTTCTCGGACTCGCGCAAGGCCCAATCTCGAGTGGCGTTTAATCGGGATTTGGCGGGTTTCACAATCAAGCGGCCAGAAAAAGTCTGGAACACTTTCCCTTGCCACCCACAGATTGCAAAAATGCACGAGCATCGCGTTCACTTGCAAACTGCGCAAAAGATGCCAACAATACTGCAAAGAAAAACGTAATAAGAAAAAGCAATGTAACAAAACAATACTGCGAATAAAAACGTAATAATGCAATGTAGCACAACAATACTGTTCTGCAATGTCGCAAAACAATACTGCAAAGCAAAACGTAATAACACATAGAAAGGGTCGATACATTGCAAACTGCAACTGTGGAATACCGAACGAAATCGCGAATTCTTGTCGTGTTTGTTCTTTACCTGGTGACTCTGTCCAACAAAGCGCATCGAAAATATGAAAAAGCGCTAATGACAGAGAATTAATCAAATAACCTCAAACTTAAATATTACAAATCAATTACAATAAAATTTCCGGAATATTAGTAACATATCGAAAAATGATAAAAATTGATGAGAAATGTAAACATTCTTTTCTGCTGGTGCCCTACCGACGCTTCGTCGTGGCATTTATTGAAAAAATTCTGAGAATTCAGAGTAACCTAAATCAATAAACTTAGCAATATTTGGTTCCTCGGAATGATTCTGCCCAAAAACCGCTACGAATCCTCAGTAGAACACGGGCATGTAAGCTCTGGAAGTTCGATCGATCCCGGAAATACTCCCGGAAGACCAGCCGACAACCTGCTTCGAAAAACTTGTCTAATAATTCGATGCTGTTTCGCAACTCGCCCCAGATGCGGTCGATGATCTCGGTGCCAAATGTAACCCAAACGCGTTTGGTCTTGTTGGGCTTGGTGCATCGGAACATCGTGGTGGGTGATCTTGGTGAACTTCGGCTTGATCCACCTCCACTTACCCTTGATCATGACGTGCTTCTCGGAGTGGACAATCCAATCATGCTTGACCCCTTCGGGCTTCAACTTATAACTCCTGGCCCCGTCCTTGCAGTATGATTTTGCGCTTGTGAACCCACTT